TCGATGATTCGTCAACAAAATGCATGAATCTATAGCGCTTTTTAACACACTATTCCTGCCTTCACTAAACTTTACTTTAAGCATTGTTCTTAATTTAAATTACTGCTCTGGGGTTCCAGGCTTAGCCGTTTTTATGATAGTACTTTTTTGTACTGTTTGACTTCTCTATGTATTTCTTGCTTAGTGTTCCTAGTCATCGAAATTATATCTGCAGAGGTATATAAACTTCGTTGTGCCGAAGTTAGCTTATGATCATACAGTACCCAAACCAAAAGCTTTCGCCCACGTTTAGTGAGTAGCCTTGTCATTAGCTCGCTTATGACGTCTCGAAATGGTCTTGAAGTCAGTAGGACTACGTTATCTACGTATGCTACCACTTTTTCTGTTTCAGTTTTGAGTGCTTTTAATGTGACATCCATGTTTATCAGCCAGAACAGTGGGGACAAAACTCCTCTCTAAGGTGTGCCCTCTTAACAAATCTTGTGAACTGAGTGCCATCCGCCTGCTCGTTAGTATAGCGCCGATCCAGGTTCTAATGCCTTCTTCAACTCCTATCTTGTTGTGGGAGGATGGAAACTGTGTTTACGTTATCGAAGTTCCCCTCTATATCTAAGCAGGTGGCCAAAACAGTGAATTTTCTATGTATTTCACCACCTTATGCGGTGTGGTCTTTGTAAATCTGCCTTTCCCGTATGCATGCTGTGCGTCAGAAATCATTTCTCCGGTTTACCTCTGATGTAGATATCTAGTATCAGTTCCAGTGTTTTCATGAGGAATGAGGTAAGGCTAATCAACCTGTAGTTCATGGCTTGGATATGTCCGCTTCTGCCTGGTTTGGTATGGAAACTGCTCTTGCTTTCTGAAGTGGTATGTGTGCTTTTTCTATACATGCTTGGAAGACTACTTGTAATCATTTACCCATGCATGTCTTGCTTGCTCAACCTAACCTTATCTTTTATTACGTCTAGTGAATCACAGTAGCTGCTCCAAGAGTGCTTCTTTGCTGCGTGTATCGCTTTTCTGTATTCCCTCTTTGGCTTTGTAGCCTTTCTAAACTTTTCCACCACTGTGGGTAAATCTTCTTGGAGTATTTGAGTCTGCACGACTTCTTATACGCGTTGTTGAGAATATCCTTGTTGATTCCTTCTGGGGTGGACTTCTAAATCATGTGCACGACACCATGATGCACTTAGGATGGCAGAAAACCCTAGACAAAGTTTATGAGCAATTTTGGCTTGAACACATGTCCAAGTATGTCAGAAAATTTGTTGAAAATTTCATAACTGCAAATTATCCAAACCCTCTTCAGGAAAGCAACAAATAGAACTACACCCCATACCTAAAATTTAGATACCTTGGCATACCATCCATGTGGACATAAGCGGCAAACTTAGCGGTAAAAATGATATGAAAGAATATATTATTGTCCAAATAGATGCGTTCACCAAGTTTGTTTACTTACATCACACTCTAAATCTAGACTCTGAAAACTGCATTAAGGCTGTAAAGTCAGCCATATCTTTCTTTGGTGTCGTATTAGATCAAGGCAGGAGCTTTGTCAGTAACAACTTCCGCGAATTTTGCTCAACGAATAAAATAGATATTCATTTAATAGTCACGGGCGCAAGTTGAGCTAATGGATAAGTGGAACATGTCAGGAGCACGTTGAAGGGTATGCTAACGGCCGTTGAAACTAGAGATCGTTCGTGGCAGGATGCTTTACCAGAAATTCAGTTAGCCTTAAATTGCTCTACAAATCGAATCACTAAGTCTAGTGCTTTAGAGTTGCTAATAGGTAAAGAGGCTAGGCCTTTGGGTCTATTAGATAGGGAGCACGCTAGAGTTAATGCTAAAGAATATATGGAAAATAATGCACAATATGAAAACGAAAGATTTGACAAAAATAAAGCGAAAGTTAATGCGTACAATGTAGGCGATCATGTATAGTTAAAAGCTGAAGAACGTCACCAAACGAAACTTGATCCCAAGTTTAAGGGCCTGTTTTAGGTGATCAAAGTACTTGAGGCAGATCGATATGAATTAAAATCATTAGTTAATAAGCGAACATATAAGTATGATCACGAGTGTCTAAGATCACTGCCAAACAAAGAATAAGTTGAAGAATTAAATGAAGAATTCCAAAGTGACGATGAGTCCCGAGATGGGAAGTAGTATATGGACGACATCGGAGGATGTGCGTCAGTGTCCCGAGTTAGGAAAGAGTATGTGGACGACATCAGAGGATGTGCGTCAGTGTCCCGAGTTGGGAAAGAGTATGTGAACGACAACAGAGGATGCACGTCAGTGTCCCGAGTTGGGAAAGAGTATGCGGACGACATCAGAGGATGTGCGTCAGTGTCCCAAGAGGGGAATTGTTAATTGCACTATAACAGCTGTCTCGCAGGGACGATAAGTGTTATGTCGTGGAGGTCTTGGTGACCTGGAAATGTTCATGGAAAAGATATTATGTAAAAAGAAAAAATTAAATGTTTGGAGTTGAAAATAACTGTATTTAAGTTGGTAAAGAGAAACTAAGTTGATATTTATTGGTTAAGTTTGAATTGTCATTTTATGGAAAGCGAACCATTTATGTAATAATTGAAAAAGAGAAAATTAACGAAAAGAAGTGGTGAATAAATCAGAGCCAAGAAAAGAATGAGAAAATCAATATAATTCATTCGGTCTTGATTTATTTGGTAATAGTGGAACTCAACACACAGGGACGTGTGGTAGGACAGAAAGGACGTGTCGGAGATGAATTCTGGGAAGTACGCTTTTCTTAAGAAGCGCAGCGCTAGGCATAACAGAAGAGACGAGGGCAGTCTCTGCTGGCGAGTGAGGTCCGTTGTCGCGCTACCGAAAGCCATAGGAGAGAAAGTGAGGGATATAGATCAACGATCGGCAACGGAACTCGCTGTGCTGCCGCGCGAATATATTAATATGGACGAAACAGTTACGCATCCGACATACATACACACATACATAGAAATTGACATAAGCATAATTAAAACAAATCAAAGAATCTTGGAAAATCAAATCAAAACAAAATGTGACACGCGCAAATCACTTGCATAGACAACAAAAACATACCCTGCAGTACCTGGTATCAGTAATTCATCGTTTCATCAACAGTCAAGGGGGTGCTGTTGGTGATTCATCGATGACAGGCCATACAAACTGTTGATGAATTTAACATGGGCATGTCCTAGGCTGTTATAAATAAAAATTCATCAACAACTCATCGATAATTCATCAACAATTCATCGATGATTCGTCAACAAAATGCATGAATCTATAGCGCTTTTTAACACACTATTCCTGCCTTCACTAAACTTTACTTTAAGCATTGTTCTTAATTTAAATTACTGCTCTGGGGTTCCAGGCTTAGCCGTTTTTATGATAGTACTTTTTTGTACTGTTTGACTTCTCTATGTATTTCTTGCTTAGTGTTCCTAGTCATCGAAATTATATTTGCAGAGGTAAATAAACTTCGTTGTGCCGAAGTTAGCTTATGATCATACAGTACCCAAACCAAAAGCTTTCGCCCACGTTTAGTGAGTAGCCTTGTCATTAGCTCGCTTATGACGTCTCGAAATGGTCTTGAAGTCAGTAGGACTACGTTATCTACGTATGCTACCACTTTTTCTGTTTCAGTTTTGAGTGCTTTTAATGTGACATCCATGTTTATCAGCCAGAACAGTGGGGACAAAACTCCTCTCTAAGGTGTGCCCTCTTAACAAATCTTGTGAACTGAGTGCCATCCGCCTGCTCGTTAGTATAGCGCCGATCCAGGTTCTAATGCCTTCTTCAACTCCTATCTTGTTGTGGGAGGATGGAAACTGTGTTTACGTTATCGAAGTTCCCCTCTATATCTAAGCAGGTGGCCAAAACAGTGAATTTTCTATGTATTTCACCACCTTATGCGGTGTGGTCTTTGTAAATCTGCCTTTCCCGTATGCATGCTGTGCGTCAGAAATCATTTCTCCGGTTTACCTCTGATGTAGATATCTAGTATCAGTTCCAGTGTTTTCATGAGGAATGAGGTAAGGCTAATCAACCTGTAGTTCATGGCTTGGATATGTCCGCTTCTGCCTGGTTTGGTATGGAAACTGCTCTTGCTTTCTGAAGTGGTATGTGTGCTTTTTCTATACATGCTTGGAAGACTACTTGTAATCATTTACCCATGCATGTCTTGCTTGCTCAACCTAACCTTATCTTTTATTACGTCTAGTGAATCACAGTAGCTGCTCCAAGAGTGCTTCTTTGCTGCGTGTATCGCTTTTCTGTATTCCCTCTTTGGCTTTGTAGCCTTTCTAAACTTTTCCACCACTGTGGGTAAATCTTCTTGGAGTATTTGAGTCTGCACGACTTCTTATACGCGTTGTTGAGAATATTGCTGAGGTCCTTGACGTCCTTGTTGATTCCTTCTGGGGTGGACTTCTGCACCTCTGACCTCTGGTTCCCTGCATCAGGATTGAGATTTCAAAGAATATGTACCTATTGTCTAGACCCTTTTCCTACCTTATAATTGCTGTGCTCAATTTGGTGATTTATGTCTAGGACCTCTCCCCAACCTTAAAATTCTTCCGTTCTTGCAAAAATGAAGGTGAGCGTGTCGCCATTGTTTCAGATAATAACATCACGCCATGTATTATCGAAAAGCGACTCGCCCTCTGGATTGTTTCCTTACTTCCCCATACTTCCGCCATAAAACTGATTTCACCAGGGGCATGGACAATCCCGCAGCACATTCGGATACCGAATCTTTTTTGGCGGTCGACCTCAGGAATCTTGGATTCGATCAACTTGTCTTACTCTTATAATTTGTCTTACACTTTACAATTTATTCTATCAATTTTTTAATAAATCAAAGTAAATGCTTAGTAGATTTGAGGACGCGCTAAACCAATAATTTTAATACTTGCTAAGGTTTCTTTTTTGGCTTTGTCCAAAAGTGTACGAGTAAAAAAATTTCAAAAAGTACTTGAATATCTTATTTTATTCATTATGTTTTTAGATTAGTGTACTTAATATTTAAATATGTTCTTTTACAAATTATGTTGGGTAATGCTGTAAAAACCGTAGTTCTAAATAAATAGGTATGAGCTTTTCGGGATAATTTAAAAATGTAAATACTTTTTATGTAGATACTAATAAAATAATTAACAAGCTAGAACACATTTTATAACTGCTTTCTAACCATTTCCGACAGCAGGTCTGAATCATTATTAGACATGACGGAAACACTTAAATCCTTATTTCTATATGAGTTGCTTGTTGCACGCTGAATGGTTCTATCTTCATATCGGGTACGTCCTTGCGAAGCCATTGGTCTATTTAAAGTATTGTTGGCGTTATTTGGGGAACTTGGCGGCGTGCTATGTGAGGCAAAGTTTTTGCTAACGAAATCCTGTTCTTTCCATCCGTTTTTTTTATAAACCTCACGTAGTTCGTTATGCTGCCACATCGTGTACAAAACTTGACTAGCAAATTTTAAAACACAAGGGTTATATTGTTCTTTTCGTCTCGTTATATTCATAAGTCGTTCAATCCCGCCTGCATCTAATAGAGAACGTGAGAACTCGGGATTTTTTTTAATAACTTCATTAATTGTTGCCAATACCGCTGTTATTGTATCGTCTGATGTATTTTGGTCGTGTTGGATGTTCCCAGATGGAAGTTTTTGAACTAAGTCCCGCATAGCATACTTTCCAATAAGTTCTTTATTACGTTGATCAATGGCTAGATTTCGTAAAGCTGTGGCAACTGCACAGACTACGCGATCTACTTCCATCCGAAGAAGCTCTACAAGTATCGGTAGACCTTTCTCTTTGCGCACTGTGGCACGAATGTCAATGCTGGGTTGCCAATAGCATGCAGATAAATTTTGAATCGCACCAGCAGCAGCCTCAAGGGTTTCTGGATTGGAACAACTTTGCAATATTGATAAATAGTATTGAATCACTTCTGGTTGCCATAATTGTTCATATCCTTTCTGCAATTGGTTGGTAGTCACCGAATTCTTAGTATATTCCGTTGAACTGTTGTATTCTTGTGAAGATCCAGGATGCGAAGATTCTTTCTTCTTTTTACTGGTTCCAAAACAGCCTAAATGTTCGCCTGTAAATAGAATATATAAATTTAGAGTGTATTATAACTATAATAATGGTAGAGCTTAATATAACCACAACATCCAATATCTATCCTCACTGTATGTCTGGTACCCGCAAAAGATTTTTTAGATAACAATTTTTTTTTTAATTTTAAAAATAAAATAATGCGTGTTAAGCACCTTAGTAACATATACCCCTGGACGGGTATATATAATTAACCTCTAACGATTGCAAAACCGTGGGAATTAGAAGAGAATTCAGGAAAAATTTTAACAGAAAAGCGGGAAATCCATCTCTAATATATAGCATGTACTACAAACCAATATTTTAAGTAGTCGTTTCCTAACATTTCAATTGTAAAGTTTCAAATTAATTAAAGCAAAATTGACAAAGTAAGGAGTTTTTTTTTATATCTGTCGGGTTTTTGTTTTACACGGAATTTTATTGTGTTTAATATTCTTAAGCTTTTTTTCCAAAACTCACATTTTCAAAGTCGGTGCCCCTCATAACTTCAAAACTCCTGCACCGATCATTTTAAAATTTTAAAAACTATTTCTCTAAATATTTTACAAGGTAACGCTGTCCGGTTTTTTTTTTTTTTTTTTTTTTTTTTGCATAGTTTTATACCCTTGCAGGGTATTATAATTTCAGTCAGAAGTTTGCAACGCAGTGAAGGAGGCACCTCCGACTATATAAAGTATATATATTCTTGATCAGGATCAACAGCCGAGTCGATCTAGCCATGTCCGTCTGTCCGTCTGTCCGTCTGTCCGTCTGTCCGTCTGTCCTTCTGTCCGTCTGTCCATCTGTCCGTTTCTACGCGAACTAGTCTCTCAGTTTTGAAGCTATCTGAATGAAACTTTGTAGTTAGCCTTTTATATACTCTCACTCGTATATATGTCGGAACGGGCCGAGAAATTAATACAATTAAATTCATAACTTTTTCAGTTTTCAACTGATTTTCATCAAATTTGAGGTATAGCCATTTTATATAAGTCTTAAATTTTGTGTCAAATTTCATGAAAAACAGACGACTATATCATATAGGTGCCATACAAACGATCGTTTGATGTAGAGGAAAAATGCAAATCTGTGAATGTAAAACTGCAAATATAATATGTATAGGTGAATGAAATGAAAGCAGGTATTTCTTCATTGTTTTTTAACACAAATATATATAATTTATATTGTATGGATTCCTATTCATAGAAGTTCTATCTGCAAGGGTATATAAACTTCGGCGTGCCGAAGTTAGCTTCCTTTCTTGTTTTACAATGAAATTAGACGATTTTTTCCTAATAAATTGTGCTTTTCACTTTAGTCTTCGAAAAATAAAAATTAAAAATTGGAATTAAAAAAAAACTCGACAAGCGTTACCTGGTTATGAGGGGCACCGAAATTCAACAATTTTTTCAGACACGTCCGGACAATTGCTACAATTGGCATTTTTTTTTTAAATACTTCTAAAAGTTTGATGACATTCTTCGAATGTCATACTTTAATGAACCATTCGTTGAGTTAATATACAAAGGTAGTCAAATTTCTTTTAGTTATTCTTGTTGTTGTTGACCGTTTTCTATATTGAGTAGATAAATAGTAGATAAATGCAGAAGCGAGCCAAAAAAGAATTCCAAAGTTAACGGTTCATAGAAAAGTGCTATAAGTAATTGAATATATGCACCTAAAGTGTAATATTTACACATAATTTGTTTTCATCTTAATTTTAATCGAATAATTTTTTATTTGTGATTTTTTATTGTGACAATCTTATAAGTTACTTTATTAATAGTTAAAAAAAACTTGCTTAGGTATCGATGAAGGCTTTCAATTGGTTGGAATTGAGTTTATTAAGCTATATCCAAAATGAATAGACATATTTTCTTTTGCTTTTAATATTTTCCTATGAACTGTTATCTTTTGTTTTCGTTTTCGGCTTGTTTCTGAATAGATCAATTTATGCGATAAAAAAATTTCATGGTAATCGGTCAACAAAAACAAGAATAATAACAAAAATAAGTTTGGCGGTGAAAATAATTGTAAATTTGTGTAAATACTTTTGACTACCCCTGTATATTTTATTCAGAATTAAGGGGTAAATTTTTATCCTCATTTTTATTATACCCTTGCAGTGTATTATAATTTCAGTCAGAAGTTTGCAACGCAGTGAAGGAGGCACCTCCAACAGCCGAGTCGATCTAGCCATGTCCGTCTGTCCGTCTGTCCGTCTGTCCTTCTGTCCGTCTGTCCGTCTGTCCGTTTCTACGCAAACTAGTCTCTCAGTTTTGAAGCTATCTGAATGAAACTTTGTAGTTAGCCTTCCATATACTCTCACTCGTATATATGTCGGAACGGGCCGGATCGAACGACTATATCATATATATGCCATAGGAGTGATCGGAAAAATTTTACAAAAAAAAATTATAACAATTTCAGTTTTCAACAGAATTAATCAAATTTGAGATATAGCCATTTCATGTTATTCTACAATTTTGTGTAAAATTTTATGAAAATCGGACTACGAAATCATACAGTTTTCATAGGAACGATCGAGAAATTATTACAATCAAATATTATAACATTTTCAGTTTTCAAAAGATTTTCATCAAATTTAAGGTATAGCCATTTTATATTAGTTTTAAATATATGTATCATAAAGGTGCCATACAAACGATCGTTTGATTTAGAGGAAAAATGCAAATCTGTGAATGTAAAACTGAAAATATAATATGTATGAATGTAGGTGAATGGAATAAAGGTCAAATAATGCGAAAAATGCCATGTTTTTGTCATTTTTTTCTCGACGACACAGTTAAAATGTATTTAACATATTTAACGAATGGTACATTAAAGTATGACATTCGAAGAATGTCTAATAAAATTTGTATAAAAAGATATTTAAAAATATAGCAATGGTAGCACCTGTCCGGACGTTTAATTGCGGTGCCAATCATAACTCGGTTCCGGATCAACGGAAATCAAAAAATTCAAATTCATTTGTTAGATTATAGAATAGAAATTTTCGAGCAAAAAATGAATAAGAATTTTATATATACTGCAGTTTTATTATGTGGGCGGCAAGGAGGGCAAGGTTGCAGTGTAAAAAAATGCAAGGTTCTCAAATTCATTCTCCAAGTTTTAACTTTCTTAAAGGCATTTCATCCCAATGTGGAATGGTAGAAGCGTGGACTACTACTCATGCTCATATTCTCTTTTGGTGGCTGAACAAATTACGTTCATATGAAGTGGATGACATCAAATCAGCTGAAACTTGTGATCCAGTCACTGAGCCCCATCTACACGACATTGTGACGACACAGATGGTGCATGGACCGTGCGGTGCACTAAATCCATTATCGCTTTGCATGGCTAAAGAAAAGTACACAAAACGATATCCGCGACCGTTAGTTGCTGAAACCGTCACAGGGAACGATGGATGTCCAGTTTATCGTCGGCGTTCAAAAGTAGATCATGGATAAACTATCAATGTTAAAGTTCAAAATCAAGAGATTGCCCGCTGTTATCTCGAATTTTCGAAACACATGCAAACGTTGAGGGTTGTCCTTCGGTCAAATCAATCTAATATTTGTGCAAGTACGTACAAAAGGCAGTGACATGGCTGTGTTTGGCACTGCGTCTGAAAATGCGAATGACGAAATCAGTAAATTCCAAATGGGCAGATACGTCAGTACTAATGATGCACTGTGGCGATTATTGTCCTTGAAAATTCATTTGAAAATGACCAAAGAGTTAACTTCACTGAGGCTAATGCGGCACAATGAGCTGAAAGACCACCATAGATTAGCTTCTTTGCAATGTGTGAAGCAGATCCGTTCCCAAGTATTACACATGCATTCAGTCAACAAAGAAATTTCAACGTCGCAAACAAGGAACCCTAGTTCCAGATTGGCCACAGTCGTTTTCCATTGATGCACTTGGTCGCATGTATTCTGTATGCATCCTAGAAATGCATTTTTTATTCGCGGCTGCTTTTGGTAAATGTACGTGAAAACTGTGGATGGCCGCCAATGCCAAACATATCGAGAGCATGTCAACTATTGGGCTTGCTGGAGAATGATTCTCATTGGGATTTAACACTAGCGGATTCAGTTGTTTCATCAAATGCGTACCCAAAACTAACGCTATTTACAATAATTATCACCAATATAATGTTGATAAATTTAAGGAACTAGATCGAAATAATGTGCCGTTGCTGAATGAACAGCAAAGACAAGTATAGGAAACAACAGCAAGCGGAGGACAATAATACTGGTGGTCTATTTTTCCTGGACAGATCTGGAGGAACAGGGAAAACATTTGTTATTTCATTGAGTTTGGCCACTATTCGATCAAGATATGACAAAACTTTGGCATTAGCATCATCTAGATGACGGTCGTACTGCATATTCTGCGCTTAAGTTGCCAATCAATTTAAACACAATTGATACTCTAACATGCAATATTTTCCGATGCAGTGCAATGGGAAAATTGATGATGCTATGCAAGCTCATTGTCTAGTATGAGTGCACAATGGCACATAAGAAATTACTTGAAGCACTTAATACTGAAGAATCATCGGGGAAATAAAAACATCTTTGGTCGCATGATGATATTGTTGGCAGTCGATTTCAAGCAGACGTTTCCAGTAATTCTCTCTTAAACGCCTACGGATGAATTAAATGCCTGAAGGCATGATCAAAGTGCTGCACAATTTTTCAAACAATTGGAAAATGGAATTGGAAATATCCCAGTTGATGCTTCATGTGGATTAATTACTCTTACCAACGACTTTTGACGATTTGTAGACTCTAAATTAGCTCTTATTGAAAATGTTTTCCCAAACATTAGAATTATCAGAATTATGCTTGGTTAAGTGGTATATTTTTGCGCCGGAAAATAAATAAAAACTAGAAAGGAAGCAAACTTCGGCACGCCAACGTTTTTATACCGTGGAGATAGAACTTCGATGACTTCCATACAATATAAATTATATTTATTAATGTTAAAAAA